TTCATATATATAATTGCAGTTTCTAGTAAATTTTGTGTCTGATATCTTTACCTTATTTATTTTCTGTGATAATCAACTTTTTAGGAAATGATTTTTACGTCAACCTATAATACATACACAAACGCGCTCAGACAGAAATAATATAGCTCAATCAATGTCTGAAAGTGAACAACTCTGTTATCTTCCATCTTTGAAACCTCTCACGTGCACCTGCCAAATCACTTCCCTATATTTTCCCTCCAAATGTGGCCACACATTTGAATTTTATAACTGTAGTTGTTTGTAGCCTGTTTGGGGAAGTTCATCTAATTGGAATTGCACAAGATGTGTTATCTGTGCATTTGTTTGTGTGTTCTTTGTATTTATCACTCATTGTTTATGAAGTCATGCATATTGCTACATGTGATTGTAGCTCATTTATCTGTTTTTAGTGCTGTTTCACAAATATACCATGCATTATTTATTCTCCTGTTGAGGATTTTGCATTGTATCTCTTAATGTCTAGTTCAAATAATTCTGTCTTAAATATACATTTCTTTGGATGCTTATGTACATAGATTTCTCCTAAGTATTTACCTAGGAGTTGGGTTAGTGGATCACAAAATATGTGTATATCTTTACCTTGGGTAGATAATGCCAACCAATTTTCCTAGATGTGTTTACCTGTTTACATTCCTAGGAGTGTATAAAGAATTTCTGCTGCTCCACATCATCTCTACATTTGTCAGATTATTTTCATGTCAGCCATTTTACTGGGTGAGTTTTGTATTCTCATTTGAATTCATTTCATGTTTAAATGAGGTTGAGGACCTTTCTGTATAATTCTTGGCTATTTTTATATCTTATTTTATCCAATAGCTATTGAAATCTGCTTGTTTTTCTATTCTGTTGTGTTTATCTTTTCTCTTTTTTTTTCTTGTTTGTTTCCATGGAACTTTATTCCTTCACCTTGTATTTTTCTTATTACTTAAAAAAAGTCTTATTTTCTGGACATAACCCATTTCTTGATATTTTTCTTCCTCATGGCTTGTTTTTGATTCCTTTGTATCTTTTATGAATGGAAATTTTTGATTTTAATTAAGTTCAATTTATCAATTTTTGCTTCTTGATTCTCTGTCATATAGATAATTTCCTGTGTTATGTTTGTTTCATTGTTTACATTACATCTACAATCCATTTGGAGTATATTCTTCATCACTGTTGTAAAGTAGGGATTAAAATTCATTTTCCCCCCATTTTTTGTTGTACTCATAAAATGAGTTTTGAAGTGTTCACTTTTCTTTAATGTTTTTGAAAGAATTTAAGCAAGATAGGCATTGAGTCTTCTTTAAGTGTTTGATAGTCTTCTCTAGTGAAGACATCTGGTCTTGGGCTTTTTTTGTGTTAGGAGGTTTTGACTACTGATTCAATCTCTTTACTAGTTATAGCTTTGTTCGGATTTTCCATTTCCTCATGATACGGGTCTTGGTGGGTTGTATGTATTCCTTGGTAGGAATTTATTCATTTCTTCTTGGTTATCTTCATTGATATATAATTGTTTATAATAATCTCTTATAATCGTGGCATCAGTTGTAATGCCTCTGCTTTCATTTGTGAGTTTAAGCCTCTTTTTTTCTTAGTTTAGCTTAGGGTTTATCAATTTTGTTGATCTTTTGAAAAAATCAACTATGTTTTGTTAATTTTTCTTATTACTTTTCTATTCCTTATTTCATTTATTTTTGCTCTAATCTTTATTATTTTCTTCCTTTTGCTTTGGGCCTAGTTTATCCTTCTTTTTCTTGTTCCTTAAATTATAAAGTTAGGGTTTTTTTTCTGAGATCTTTCTTCATTTCTAATGTAGGCATTTATCAGTATAAACTTCCTTGTTAGTACTGCTTTTATTGCATCCTGAAAGTTTTGGTATGTTGTGTCTTCATTTTCATTTATGTCAGTATGATTTTCTAATTTCCCTTTTGGTTTCCTCTTTGACTCTAAAAATTTGTTATTTAATTACCACATATTTGTGGATTTTCCAGTTTCACTTCCACTAATTTCATTCCATTGTAATATTTAGTATTATTTCAACCTTATTAAATTTGTTAAGACTTGTTTTGTGACCTGATATGTGATCTATTCTGGAAAATGCTCAGAATTTGCTTGAGAAGAATGTATATTCTACTGCAGGATAATTTCCTGCCACGTTCCCCTGTTCTTTCATATTCTTTTTTCCTTTGTATTGATATCCATGTGTTTGAAAACAAAAATAAAAACAAAACAGCCACTTCTCCCACTCTTTTTGGCCTGGATTTGTACAGAGAAAGACCTTTACTAGTCAGGCTGGCTAGAGATTCTGGGGAACTCTCAAACCTTTTCTGTGGATGCATCTGCCATGACTTGTATGTGTAAATTCCTAATTAGAAGGATCTGTTTGTTTCTTTTATTGGAGAGAGCTCTAATTTCTTGCTCCCTTTGGTATATGTGTACTGTACTGTGGGTCATCTGGAGCAGCAGTATTCATTCAGCTCTTTTTGGTTCTGAGCAACTCCCAGGTATCTCAAATACGCTGAGTCCTACCACTGCCCTGTGTCAGATGAGACCACAACTATTCCTTTGGACTGCCCACTAAAAAGTGGACTTTGGATGCATGCTGCACTCTTCTCTTTCCCACATGAGGAGAGTTTAATTGTGCTCTGTCTGCTGTGTCACAGGTCCTCTGGATCATCAGCATACCATCCAGTTCTTTATTTTTCTCAGTTGCCATCAGGCAGCTAGAATATACTGGGTTCCATCAGTGCTCTGAGACAGGTGAGACAGAAATCAGTCCCTTGGGCAGTCCCCCTGAAAAGTCAGAACATTTTGGGTACATGCTTTTACTTTTCTCTTTTCCTCCCAGGGAGAAGCCATGACCTGGGAGTTTCCTCCTGATCTAGTGGCACTGTGCTGGAGGACAGTACTATAATTAGAGGGTGTCCTAAATTTTCCTATTATCTTTGATATAGCTGGGTTTGTACTTGCCTGGGGCACAGGACACTCTTAACTGATTTCTGGATTTCTCACCATGGGAACTGGCCCATCTACTGTTATTGACTTGGTATGTCTGTGGAGGGTCTGGTGCTTCTTATAACACCACTTTGCTGATGTCACTACCTCTGTTATCTTTTAAGGTTATATATGTATTAAGTTATATATGTATTCTTGTATTCTTTTATTAATGCTTTTACTGATTTCCTAGAGATTATAACATACATTCTTGGCTTATTAAGACCTAAATTAAATCAATAGTTTTACCACTTTCAGACAATGCTAAGACCTTGAATAATAACTCCATTTACCTGCACCTCCCTTTTTGTTACTGTTATGTGTTTTAATTTTTCATATATTCTAGATACACAATATATTACAATTGTTTTGTACAGTTAGCACCCATTTATATTCATGTTTCTCTCTGGGATCATTTTCTTCTTGAAGAAATTCTTTAATATTTCTTTTAGTGTGGCCTGCTGGTAAAGAAACCTTTAAGTTTTAAATTTCTTTTTCTTTTTCTTTTTTTTTCTCCTGCTGTTTACCTGCGCTTTGTTGAATTTCTTCACTTTGACATTCAGAGCATCTTTAAGTTTTTTATATCTGGAAATGTCTTTATTTTACTATCACTTTTGAGATAGTTTTGTTGGGTATTAAAGTTATTATTTCCAGCACTTTCAAGATGACATTCCATAGTGTTCTTTAAGAAGTCAGCTGTCAAGTTTATTGTTCAGTTAGTGTATCTTTTTTTCTCTCTAGCTCTCTTTACACTTTTTTGTTTTCATTTTCAACAGATATACTATTACATGCCCAGTTTTAGTTTACTTTGTTTTTATCTTGTTTGCAGTTTTTAAAGCTTTTTATATCTGTGGGTTGATATATTTTATCTGCTTAAGAAAAGACTTAGCAGTATGCCTTCAAATATTGTTTCTACTTCATATAATATTTTCTCTCCTCTTCTTCTGTGACTATAAGTGCATGTATGTTAAACCCTTTTACCATATCACTTTTGTCTTTTATGCCTCATTTAAATTTTTAAATAACTTTTTCTCTTTGTTACATGAGGTATATTTTATTCTGACCCATCTTTTACTTTAGTTATTTTCTCTTGTTACTCCAGTCCACTATCCAAATCATCAATTGAATTCTTAACTTCAATTATGGCATTTTTCAGTTTTAGAATTTTCTTTTTCTTTTTAAAAATATATTTCTAAGTTGGGTTCTGGCTAGTGTTATAAGAAACTTTCCTCCCACCAAGTTTCCACTTACTTGACCTTCAATTTAAAAACTGGATGTAACCTGAGAGATCATCATTTCTCTTAGTTTAATAATCAATCAGTCTGTAGCTTAGAGGCATAAAAAATTCTCTTGGGGTCATATGCCTTGAATTAGCTCCATTGTCTGTTTCCATCAAGTGAGCTCCTTTGACACTAAGGAAAGCATTACAGTTGCATGAAAAAAATAATAATTAATTTAATTTTCCATTCTCTTAGGGGTACTTTCGAATTACTCTCATATTTTCTATTCAAAGAGGATATATAATATGGACATTTTAGCACAATCCTCTATAGGGCAGTTATGCCTTCTCCTCTGAACCATTATATTAATATTAATACAAGCAGTGCTAAGATGTGCATCATATGTACATGGTCTGCTTTCATAGGATAAATTAATTTTCATACAGAATTAATTTTTTAGTACTCAAGTGACATAGCTGCATAAATTATTTATACAGTTCATGACCAGCCTGAGTGAGACCCCCATCTCTAAAAAGTATAAAATTAGCCTGGTATGGTGGCACACATCTGAAGTCCCAGCTACTCGGGAGGCTGAGGCAGGAGGTTCGCTTCAGCCCAGGAGCTTGAGGTTGCAGTGAGCTATTATTGTACCACTGCACTCTAGCCTGGACAACAGAGTGAGACCCTGTCTCCAAAAAAAAAGTTATGTATACATCTTTATACAATTGCTTCAACTTTTCCTCTTATTTCTCTGCAATCTGGTATACCTATATAATTTTCTACAGGTAAGGGAAGAGAAAAATAGCTTATTAAAATTTTATTCTGAATTTTTGCAGGTAATGAAGGACATCTATACTCTAATGAAAATTAAACTTTCTTGGGTTAGTGTATTTCTGAAGGCTTCCCATGAATTAAATGGAGACACCTTAAAGCATTACATGGTTTTTTTCAATCTAAATTCATTCTCAAGGAAGAAGTTCTATTTACACAATGACTTAAATATGACTGAAATATCTAGCAAAGACAGTAACTGACTAGATTAGTCAAGAAAGTAATCTATAATATTTGATTGAAAAATGGCTTGGAAGAAGATTAAAGTTTTTTTTTTCTTCCTATGGAATCTCTCATGAAATTCACACTGGAGAATATATAGTTTTTGAGAAAATAAGGATCATAATAACAGTTGGTCATTGTAACACAAATGCAGGTGATAATTTGAAAAGTAAATATAATTTAACAGATGTGGGGGTGAGTCAAATGTCGGGTCTTGTTTTCTCTAGAAATATCTATATAATTACACAAGATATTTTTCCAGAATGAGAGAAGCATGTGAACTGATAATGTTGATGACCTTTGCTTTATTGAGTATATCTTTTAAAATACTCAGTATCTACCAAAATATTCTGTAGATTACAATGCACACATTGTTAATACCACATTGTTAACTTGGCTTTTAAATACTTAATATTTACTTCTTTCAAAGGATATCTTTATGTGTTTTGTATGACATTCTGCCATAACTAATGGCATAATTTCATACTTTCATATCCTTCACTATTTGTAATAGAAAGTAGAAAACATCAGTTGATGTTATTTTCAAAACATTTATTATCAATTTCTTGATTTTTTTACCATTGTGTACTAAATTATTTTTAAAATTATCACTATGAATAACTATCAGGCAAGTAGTCTTGAAAATTGATTAATGTTTAAATAATCTGAACGTTCAGGGGAAGTCATAATAGCAGAGATAATAAGATTCTTACAAAACATAAAGGAAATGGGAAACACACCTTTAAAGATTATATCAGAAACAATTATATGACGATATCTTATTTCTTTGCATTACAAGTTTGAATACTAGAAATCAAGTGAATTTCAACTGACTTTGCATTTTCTGGTAATTTCTTATTTCTTTTCAAGCTATATTTTAAACGTAAAAGTATCTAGTAATAGAATTATTGATTGTTTGGTCTCTCTTGTCTTTATAGGCAAGTAAGATTTTGTAATAATTTAAGGAATTCTACAGACTATATACACAAGCAGAATGTTAACTATTTCTTCAATTAAAAAGTTGGTGACATTTTCTTTTGACCATATTTATTAAGTCAAGTCCAAATGATACCATATAGTAAACAGCTGAAGGATTGAAAAGTAATAAAACTAATATAGAAGTAGCCCTGTTAACAAAGTAATATTCTTTTAAACATGATTACTTTTACTGAAACTTAAACATTTTGTGGAATAGTACATCTTACAGACATTAGCATTTGACTTGCTGCATAAATGCAAGGATATGTGATTTCAAAATTTATAATAACTGCTTTATCAGTAATAACAACTTGAAGAAATGCTACCCGGATACTTCTAATTTGAAAATAGTGTCAAAAGCTTACCAAAGTTGTTCTGTTAAGCTTTTGACTTCTAGAAAATTGAAATCTCCATATTAGTTTTTGAGTCAATACTGAAAGCAGATGGGTGTTATAGAGACATTAAAGAAATACGTTTTCATCAATTTAGAAATTAGTCTTCCAAAAAGAAACTGAGGCAAGAATGTTACCAAAATAGTTTTAGTTATATTGAAAACAATATCAACAAAATATCAGTATTAAACATTGAATTTAGAATAAAAATTTGTTTTGTGAGTAACATGGAAATAATATCCAAACATTCCATTAAAAGGATATCGAAAAATTCAAAAAATTTAATAAGATATATTTAAGTAGAGAAAGAAGAAAGAATTCAAAACTTTAACTTTTAAAAGTTATTTTTATCAGCTTTGAAATACATAAACCTCTCTGTATATAAAATAAACCAATACAAATTACTCTAGTAAAGATTGGGGTTTCATGAATCCAGGTGTGTTGTTTTTGTATTTTAATGATATGCTTATATTGATGCATTTTTATTTAGACATTAATGATATATTTTGATTAGAGATAAGGGGTATAAAGAGTCGTAGGAATCATGTCACTGAAATTCGGAAATATTTGAGAAATATAGGTAAATAAAGCAAAACGAAATAAAATACTTACCCGTTCATCCACATGATGTCGCTGGACACCGCAAGGTTTTTTCCCCCTCGCCAACATCAAGGGAATACACTGAGTACATTTTCCTTAGATAGAAAGGAAAAGGACCTCCCATTTTTGGCTCTGCTAAGAAGCTCAAAAAGGTGAGCAAATAAAAAATATATAGTAAATTGGGAATTAAGTTTCCAAAAAATATTCTGTGGTGATGCAATAGAGATTTGAAAATTGGAACGAGATTGCGATGGTATATTCCCAGAGAGGAAGTCCCCAATCCCGGCGCCTGCTGCTCTGGCTTCTCCTCGCCGCATGGGAGGCGGGGAGCGGCCAGCTCCACTACTCTGTCCCGGAGGAGGCCAAACACGGCACCTTCGTGGGCCGCATCACGCAGGATCTGGGGCTGGAGCTGGCGGAGCTGGTGCCGCGCCTGTTCCGGGTGGCGTCCAAAGACCGCGGGGACCTTCTGGAGGTGAATCTGCAGAATGGCATTTTGTTTGTGAATTCTCGGATCGACCGGGAGGAGCTGTGCGGGCGGAGCGCGGAGTGCAGCATCCACCTGGAGGTGATCGTGGACAGGCCGCTGCAGGTTTTCCACGTGGAGGTGGAAGTGAAAGACATTAATGACAATCCTCCCAGGTTCTCCCGAGAAGAACAAAAATTATTCATTTTAGAGTCAAGAATGCCAGATTCGCGGTTTCCTGTAGAGGGCGCATCTGACTTGGATATAGGAGCAAATGCAGAATTAAGATATAAATTAAATCCTAACGAATATTTTGACTTGGATGTTAAAACAAATGAAGAAAAAACGAAATTTTTAGAACTAGTTTTGAAGAAATCCTTAGATAGGGAAGAAACCGAAGAACATCGTCTATTACTGATTGCAATTGATGGAGGAAAACCCGAACTAACAGGTACGGTTCAGTTGTTGATCAATGTATTGGATGCGAATGATAACGCCCCGGAATTTGATAAATCCATTTATAATGTGAGACTGTTCGAAAATACACGGAGTGGAACATTAGTTATTAAACTGAACGCCTCAGATGCAGATGAGGGCATTAATAAGGAAATAGTGTATTTTTTTAGTAATCTTGTTTCTGACGATGTAAAATCCAAATTTATAATCGATTCTAATAGCGGTGAAGTAAAAGTGAAGGGAGAGCTGGATTACGAAGACTGTAACTTATATGAAATTAATATTGATGCAGTGGATAGAAGTACATTCCCATTAACAGGGCACTGCAAAGTAATAGTGAAACTTCTGGATGTGAATGATAATATCCCCGAGATGGCCATAACCTCCCTTTTTCTGCCTGTCAAAGAGGATGCTCCAACAAGCACCGTCGTCGCCCTGATCAGCGTGTCTGACCTTGACTCTGGAGCCAACGGGCAGGTGACCTGCTCCCTAACGGCCCACGTGCCCTTCAAGCTGGTGTCCACCTTCAGGAATTACTATTCCTTGGTGCTGGACGGTGCCCTGGACCGGGAGAGCATATCGGACTATGAGTTGGTAGTGACAGCACGGGACGGGGGCTCGCCTTCTCTGTGGGCCACAGCCAGCGTGTCCGTGGAGGTGGCCGACGTGAACGACAACGCGCCGGCGTTCCCACAGCCCGAGTACACGGTGTTCGTGAAGGAGAACAACCCGCCAGGCTGCCACATCTTCACGGTGTCGGCGCGGGACGCGGACGCGCAGGAGAACGCGCGGGTGTCCTACTCGCTGGTGGAGCGGCGGGTGGGCGAGCGCGCGCTGTCGAGCTACGTGTCGGTGCACGCGGAGAGCGGCAAGGTGTACGCGCTGCAGCCGCTGGACCACGAGGAGCTGGAGCTGCTGCAGTTCCAGGTGAGCGCGCGCGACGCGGGCGTGCCGCCTCTGGGCAGCAACGTGACGCTGCAGGTGTTCGTGCTGGATGAGAATGACAACCCGCCAGTGCTACTGGCACCTCGGGGTGGCAGCGGCGTTGGCCTAGTGAATGAGCTAGTGCCTCGATCTGTGGGGGCGGGCCACGTGGTGGCGAAGGTGCGCGCGGTGGACGCCGACTCTGGCTACAATGCGTGGCTTTCATACGAGCTGCAACCGGCGGTTGGCAGTGCTCGGAGTCCGTTCCGCGTGGGGCTGTACACTGGCGAGATCAGCACAACGCGCGCCCTGGACGAGGCGGACGCGCCGCGCCAGCGTTTGCTTGTGCTGGTGAGGGACCACGGTGAACCCGCGCTGACCGCCACGGCCACAGTGTTGGTATCGCTGGTGGAGAGCGGCCAGGCGCCGAAGGCCTCGTCTCGGGCACTGGCAGGCGCTGCAAACCAGGAGATGGCACTGGTGGATGTCAACGTGTACCTGATTGTCGCCATTTGCGCAGTGTCCAGTTTGTTGGTGCTCACTATGCTGCTGTACACGGCGCTGCGGTGCTCGGCGCCGCCCACTGAGGACGTATGTGGGCCGGGCCAGCCCCGACTGGTGTGCTCCAGCGCGGCGGGGAGCTGTTCTTACTCGAAACAGAAGCAGCAGAGGGTGTGTTCTGGGGACGGTCAGCCCAAGACCGACCTCATGGCTTTCAGCCCCAGCCTTCCTCAGGGTCCCACTTCCACAGACACTGTAAGTCTCAAAAGTCTTATTATACACCAGTATTTCCACCTAATCCTTTAATATTAGTGTGCCACATTTTACTCAATTTCTTTTGTTTTTTAAAATTATAGCTTAATACATAATTATTGCAGCAGCTTCTTAGTTGTTCTTTACTAGTACTAATTCATGTTGTTAAAATTACAGTTATGTTTAAAATCCATTTTATTGGTGGTAATCTCTTTGCACTAAATCTTTCAGTAACTGTTTTCTTTTATATGAGGTTTCTACTGATGGGGTAATTGATTCATCTGCTTTCTATGATACTGAGTATTTTAAAAATTATATGTGTAAATAAGCACTTTAATTTTGAAAATCTATAACAGGTAGGAAAATAATCATAAGACCTATGTTTTGGAGTCATTCTAAAGTCTCCTTTTATGACTACATAAAAATGTTTTAGTACCACCCCTTCGATTTTGCCTTTTTTGTTTCCATCGAATTTCAATTATTTTAATTTTTTACTACACTAGTTTCTTTTTTCAGTCATATTTGTGCAGTAAATGATTTATTTTAATTTTGCCTAAATAGTTGGCCTTGCATACTCATGATTAATTTTAATTATAATTTAAAATTATAGTGTTAATCCCTTCATTTCATTGATTTTTTAAGAGGAAATATATTTGCATAGCGTAATATTCTAGAAGTACGAAAGAATGCAGTAAAAATTTCCCTTCCACCTCCTTTGCAAAGCCACTTAATATACCTTTTTGAATACTTCAAACATTCTTATTTCTTGGATATCTTTCTAGAGATATTTTCTTTATGTACAAATGAACTTCCCTACCCCCTTTAAAAACATATTAGTATTGCTTTTAATCTTTTTTCAACTAATAATATATCTTGGTCATCATGACTTAACATTACTGAAACAGATTTCTCATTCTTTTATCTAGATCTGTGGTGTTCCATTGTGTGGATATATCAAAGTCTATTTTTCCCTTAACTTAACAGTGGAACAATGATTTAATTTTCCTGAAATTTGCATATTTTTCAATTTATACATTATTATATTGATGAGACATAATTGTGAGCTCCTCTAGTTGAGAAAATCCTAACATATTTTGGTTACAAAAACTTATTTTATTTTAAAATATGGAATGCTTCACAAATTTGCATGTCATCCTCATGCAGCAACCAATTTAATCTTCTCTGTATCATTCCAATTTTAGTATACGTGCTGCTGAAGGGAGGGCTAGGTCAGAAAATTTTACTGTTTATTACTGCTTTTAATTTCAGACTTCTTTTCTTTTCTTTCTTTCT